TACTAGATGGTGTTTGCATTTGAAGATTAAATGCCAAGTGTCGGGTATCTTCAGTGCCCCCAATATACAACTCTTTGCCCCCTTTTTCCGAAGTGTAAATCGAATCGAATCTCAAATTTACTGAAAGGTATCATTGAAATCTCGAGGCAACAAATGGATCTGGATCATATGTTGTGACCAAAAAGAATCACATCATACAAATTGCTATTAGGTGCGGTCCAAACTCATTGCAAATGAAGGGACTACGCACGATAAAATGTTCGCAAATGCGAACTAGAAGCGCATGGACAAACTTCGGCTATTTCATTTGCATTGCCCAGTAAATTTGAATTAAAGTTCTAAATGCTAATAAATATGACCTCTCAGAATCCTCTTCTATAGGTTTTAATAGAAATGGAAAGATAAGTAAATCCCTGGCTTGTTCAATTATGAGCTTTGGTGGCCGCCAAATCATGTTCAAAGAATCAATAAATATTTCGTAAATATCTTTTTTTTGAGTAAATGAATAGATGGGAAGATAGAGGAAAGAGCAGCTTCTAGATAATCTAAATAGGCGATAGAGCAACGTGTGGAAATGGTTTCCAGTAGCAACAACTTATTCTGCCAAAAAATTTTTTTCACTTCTGACCAAGTGGTCATTTTCGAAAGGGGAAGTGGAAGATCCAGTGTATTTAATGGGTGGATTTCCACTCCCTATTTAGATAGGGATTAATGGCACAAGGGAGGGATAGAATGTTTCATGGTTCCGCTGTTATGGGTCATATCCTATCTTGGCTATCACGATAGGGAAATTTCCAAGTCTCTCGGAAACAACCACTTCGTTTGACGATCTCTTGCAGTGGACGTTAATCTCGCGAATTCTAATTTAACATAAATAAACACTGGACGCTATGCCACTGTATGTATTGACAATGAATTTACTTTCTTCCAACTGCTCTATGACTTTTGTTGGCGTATAAGATTGATGATGTAGTTTTTTTAGATGTGTTGGTGATCTCTTAATCTCCCTATAAATCTTCCCTTACCAAATCCTGTCTAATTATTAGGTTGGCAACTAAGTCATTGTCGATTTCAAATAAGAAGGCAAATTCGGAATTTTTGTTTAAAAATATAACTTTATTCAATTAGATATTGACCGTTCTTGTCGATGACCTTTTGTCATCGTTCTGGCAGAGTAAAAATTCCCCGTTCGTAAAATGTCTGGTCTTTGCTATTAAAAAACTGAATTAGGTGTGATCCGACATCATCCGCGTTGTTCAAAATTTTACCATTTAAAGAGTTTTTCACGGAACGAAACAAATGGTAATCCGAAGGCGCAAGGTCAGGGCTATATGGTGGGTGTGACAAAACATCCCAACCCAGTTCCAATAATTTTTGTCGAGTAACCAAAGATGTGTGGGGCCTTGGGTTATCATGATGAAAAACAACACCCTTCCGCCGATTTGATAATGCCGGCCGCTTATCTTCAATTGCATCCTTCAGTTTTTCGAGTTGTTCAGCATACACATTTGAATTTATCGTTTGGTTCTGCGGCATGAGTTCAAAATACAAAATTCCTTTGTGATCCCACCAGACTGACAGCATAATCTTTTTTTGGTGAATCTCTGCTTTTGATACTGTTTGGGCTGGTTGATCTTGCTTCACCCATGATCTCTTGCGAGTAACATTGTTATAAACTATCCACTTTTCGTCGCCAGTAACTAGGTTCTTCAGAAATGGATCATTCTCATTGCGTTTCAGTAGCGGCGAATCACAGATGCTAATCCGTTGCGTCAAATGAATTTCCTTTAACTGGTGAGGGATCCATAAATCAAGTTTCTTGACATAACCAAGGGTTTTTCATTTTTTTTCAATGCATGTATGCGACACATTGAGCTTCTCTGCAATATCTCGTGTTGTGCTGTGACGATTTGAATCGATAATGGCCTTGATATAGGTTTCATTCACTTCGACTGGGCGGCCAGATCGTTGTGAATGTTTCAGTGAAAAATCACCGGAACGAAATCTTTCAAACCAATTTCGCCACTGCTTTTCTTTTAAGGCTTCATCTCCATATACGGCACATAACTTCTTTTGTGCTTGCGATGCGTTCTTGCCTTTTCGGAAGTAATACAATAAAATGTGTCGGAAGTGCACGTCCTGTTCTTTCATTTTTAAATTGGGATAAAAACAAAACTAAAGAATTAAACAAAAAATTTTTACCAATTAACCTAGAAGCCCACACAGTAAGAAAAAAATATAGGTTAGATGCTCTGGCCACGTTAACAAAACAAAAGAAAGTATAGAGTGAATCCGTCAACAAAAACGGCAATGACTTAATTCCCAACCCAATAATTGAATGATTTCTTCGAAACTTCAACTTGGAAAATAAATAGCCTGTCTTGTCAATACGAGTATGCATTGTTTGCGCGAGATGAGAAAAGTCGTCTACAATATTGCAAACCGGTAAAAAATATCTCACATATGCAGATTAAGAAAGCACGTGTTATTGTGTAACAGAAGGTTTAGTGCTCACACACATGCACACAGACACACACACATGCATTAAACAGAGCTGGAAATGCTTCTGAAAAAGGAGACAGGAATAAATTAATAACGCTTATATTAAGTCGGAAGAAGTAGCTGAAGCGTACATTTTGAGTACAAGTGCAGTTGTTATTACCCAATTATATTGTCAAGAACTGATCATGATTAGAGGTTGTTGACCATTCAACTGAGTTAGCCAATGGCTTATCAATAACTAGGACAGTCGTAGAAGCCCACAAAGATTGGTTTCCAATCAAAAGTGCCATCCCCATATTGTCCATATCACAATGTCCTCACTGTCACATTTATCCAAAATACCCATGATCAGACCTCCAATTTTCAAATTAAACTGGCATCAGATAGCGCGTAATCACTACATACAGTCCTGTTCAATCAAATAAATTGATTGGTCAATCCTAAAGGAAGAAAGTATGACATCATCTTCCCTTTACAGAAAGCCAGCAAGCTCCTGCAGTAACAAACTACAGCCATCTCTATGCTTACCCACTATTATCAATCATGAAAGCGTAGTTCATACTTAACAATTACCTATCGAATTTTTAAATTAATTGAATTCATTGTGTGTTTATTTCTATCAAGATGCGATCTTCACATGCTAGGAAACAGACTAGTGCCTCAATAAACGCGTCGTACTGATTACATGTTTCCAACCTTGATATTCATTCGCTGCATTGATTAGCTTCGTCAATACATGTACAATACTCCTAAATCAGCGAATACCGTTCCCGTTACGAAAATCAATATTCTCTCATATTAGGTCGAATGGACTAAAGATTATTTCCAATGGAGCAATCATAGATGATAAAACAGCTGATTCAACAAATGGTTCCTCAATCAAATCCTGTGGCTTGCCCAGTCTTGAAGTGCCCATTCAGATAACACTGATCTAACTCCATACCCTTTATTTTGTTTGTTTCGTCAGGTTGCCTCCTTTGGGACTGCTCAGATTCTCAAAAAATCTAGACAAATACAAAATACTTAGAATAGGAATAGAACTTTGAAATTACCTATTATTCACTACTGTTAGTGATGCTTTCACGCGCGATCGTTGAAGTTAAGCGAGCATCTTCATAAATTCAATTTTTAAAGAACTATCTTTCCAAATTAAAACGCAGATAGAAAGATAGCCATGCTTTGAGCAGTCCAACGCATAAACCATTTCAAAAAAAATACAAAAAGTTCAACTCCGAAAAGATTTTCTTTGACATTGAAAAGAGGCTCTAATTGACAATCATTAACATTGACAAGTGGAATATGCATAAGCTATTATTATGAAAACTCATCTGAATTTAAGAAACAGTACGGTAAGTCAATAGACTTGAAGGTTGGGAAGGAGGGGGGTGGGGGTGGGGGGGTGGGGGGGGAGACGAGGTTAAGTTGAAAGGAAAGTTGAAGCAACATGTGTTGCACTTTATTGATGTTTGGAGTCTTGCACAATTCCTTGTACACTTTTGAAAGGTTTAAAGGTTAATTCATATCAAATTTTTTAAATGTATTTGTAATTTAATTCACGTTCGCGATATCTTGAGTTTACCAATTAGCTGAGAAATTTGGTTGGTTGGTCGCATCATTAGAATGTTCTTTTTTTCCATGAGGATAGCGACAGGTACGGGAAAGTTACCAGCACAATTAATGAGAGTACGATGGGCAAATTACTAAATTTTTCGTTAATTTTTTCAACACATACGACAGATGATTTCATTTTTCACAGATTTGGGAATTATTGCTCTAGCCAAATCATGGAGTGAGACATATGATTTCTAGAAGTGCATCAACAAAGTAGACCAACTTATGGTGCAAAGATATTTCAAGTGTCAATACTTATTAAATTTGTCCCGATAAGTTAATTTGTCGTAAAATAAACAAAAGTTAATTATGTTGCTGCCCACTAGGTGGAGAGGTTGAAGATAGAAGTCGGTAAGATCATCTAATGACTACTACTGCTAACCTCAATGCTCATTTGCAAAAAAGCGAATTTTAATCCGATTTTCTTTCTAGGTTTAGCATATCGACTGCATTAGCCCAAAGTTCGACATTATTTTGGCCAAAAAGGGTGTGCGATAGACTTACCTCCACGTAGTACAAGCTGGACAACGTATACTCATACGGCAAAAAAGTCTATTAACCGGCAGTTAACTTCAGACTTCTAACTACCATCACCCCACTGTATGTCATATTTGACTACTTCACAGTACTCACCTTACTTTTTCTCTGCCTTTGTGTTTGTCTACCTCTTTTACAACTCTAAATCACTCTTCTGTTCCTCATCTCGAAGTCAGCTAATGGGCTAATAACTACTATTAAAACGCCTGCCATTTGATATAAATAAATGCTTTAAACAATAATCTGAGCCGTAAAAGTTAATAGGAGGGAAATGGATAATATTCTCGAACGTGGAAAGCGTTTGAGATAATCAGGCAAAATAAAAACGACTGCAAATTTTTTGTTACTTTCCTAAAAGCATCTGCCATGCTGCAACAATTTCTCTTGCGTTAATGGGAAGGTTAAGATGCCTGACTATAGAATGGAATTCCGTTTTCTTTTGCTTAATCCATTTAAAGTTCAATATTTGAATAGTATTCATTTATAATATACACGGTTATTTATGATCTAAGTAAGAAGTCAATAAAAATCACTTTAGGATATGGAAAAATGTAATGGTAGGGTATACTCGTCTTCAACTTCATGAATTATGACGGTCCAATAGGAAACATCAAAGGCCCCAAAAGT